CAGCTGACAGGCTGCATCAGAACCCTCCTCATGATTATTTTCAGGAGGGCTCTGACTCTGTGCTGCACATGAATATGCCCTGCCCCACATTTACAGCAAACAAGTTGATGTCAGTGCTGCTCCTAATCCGAAGGAAGTTTTAAAAGTGACGTTAACCACTGAAGCTTAACTGGAAAAGGTTGCTTCTGAGTATTATGCAACTAAAATTTCAAGCCACTTTAAGGAAGACCAATTTATAGCTGTAATTAAAGATATAGATTCAATTCATTGTTTAACTTTATACTGGCAAGGAATCTCTTCCCTCTCCCTCCTCCCTCCCTCCCTCCCTCCTTCCCCTCTCCCTTCTCTCCCTCTGTCCCTCATTCTTTCCCTTTTCCTTTCCTTCCTCCCATGTCCTCCATAAAACCATCTAAAATACCACAGAATTGCTTTCTTCAGTAATATCATGTAGTAAAAAATACTTTGCTGTTTTTCTGTGACTTCTGAGATTAATTTTGAGGTTCCTTTACCCTCTGAGCTGCTGAATTTTGACCCCAAACAATGTGCTCAGTACTTCCTTTCATTGTTTCCCTTTTCCTTTCCTTCCTCCCATGTCCTCCATAAAACCATCTAAAATACCACAGAATTGCTTTCTTCAGTAATATCATGTAGTAAAAAATACTTTGCTGTTTTTCTGTGACTTCTGAGATTAATTTTGAGGTTCCTTTACCCTCTGAGCTGCTGAATTTTGACCCCAAACAATGTGCTCAGTACTTCCTTTCATTGTAAATCATGGAGGAGGCAATTCTATAGGTGCTCAGCTGCTGCTGGGGACTGAGCTGTCTGTGACCCCGCTTCCTCCGCATTATTCCACTTAGCCACAGCAGAGAAATTAACAACATATCCATGAAAGGAGAAAATCTTAGTCTAGAACTACACCATATGAAAGCACGTTTTCTTTTGTGACTCATAGTTTCAAATGTGTGAGTTTAGAGGGTTTTGATTTCTTTTCTACCGTGGGGCAGAATGACGGTCCCTGGGATTCTGCAACATCTTATCCTTCCTGTGCACCAAGAAGGGCGTCCAGGTTAGCGCAGCACTGACCACCCAGTGGAAATGACTGCCAGGTGTGCAAAATGCAGGCCTCTACTAGAAACCCTCTAGGTCTCAGCATGGTGATGGGTCTACCATTTAGTGTGGTGGGAGGATGAGTAGACACTTCACTTTAAAGAATGTAGCAGTTCCAGCTGGGCCTGGTGGCGCACACCTTTAATCCCAGCTCTTGGGAGGCAGAGGCAGGTGGATTTCTGTGAGTTCAAGGCCAGCCTGGTCTACATATTGAATTGCAGGACAGCTGGTGCTACAGAGAGACACTGTCTTGAAAAGTCCAAAAAAGAAAAAGAATATAGCAATGCCATGCAGTTTAACAGATTAAGTTCTCTTGTACACAGGGTCTCACTGTGTAGCCCTGACTGGGCTGGAACTTGGTGTGTAGACCAGGCTGGCTTTGAACTCACTGAGATTCCTCTCTTCTGCCTCCTGAGTTCTGAGATTAAAGGTGTGCACCACCACAAGTTCAATTTTTGGTACTTCTGTTTTGAGATTTCAATGTAAAATATTAGCTTAAAAGATTTCTATATCTGTATGCATTTGTGTGTGTGTGTGCATGTGCATGTGTGTGTGTATGTGTGTGTGTGTGTGTGTGTGTGTGTGTGCAGAGCACAGAGGTTGATGTTGATGGTGAGAGTCTTCCTTTATCACTCTCCACCATATTTACTGAGACAGGATCTGCCACTGAGCCTGGAGCTCACAGTTCCACCTACACTGGCTTCTGTACCACTGGGATCTACTTGTTTCTGCCTCCCCAGCCCTGGGATTACAGGTGCATTCCACCATGCCTGGCTTTTCCATGGATGCTAAACTAGGGATCTGAGCTCAGGTTCTCATGCTTGCACAACAAGAATTGACCAGTGAGGGCTGGAGGGCTGGCTCAGTGGTTAAGAACACTGGTTGTTCTTGCAGAGAACCCAGGTTCAGTTCACAGCACCCATATGGTGGCTAACAACCATCTAACTCCAGTTCCAGGGGATCTGATGCCCTCCTCTTATGTCTGTGGGTGTTGTACAACATGTGTGCACTTATATACATTCAGGTAATACACTCATACACATGAGATAAAAATAAAATATTTAAAAAAAGAATTGACGAGACATCTCTTTAGCAGTAGATGTTTTTAACCCTCCCGTGAAGGTGTCAGTGACACACAGGCAGCTTATTTCATACGTCACTTTCTCTCCAGTCAGACATGACCCACAGAGCTGATGTCACCTCCTACTGGACATTGCTCTCTGGTTTCTATTATAGGATTCATCATGAACATACGTAACATATTGGTCTGTCTCCCCTTTTCAAGGACAAATGTTATGTCTTCCTTGCCTTATATCTGCACCATTATAGAGTTTAACAAACACTCTTTTTCCGCCTTTAGGCAAGAGCAATATGACGTCATGATTCTGAGCAATAGCTGTTAGGGAATGTAAATGTGTAGAGATGTTGCTTAAACAGACCAGCTGATAGCAGCTAAGCATCTGGCACAGAAACAAGAGGCAGCGCTAAAACTGCCTTTTATTAAACTCAATTTTCTTCAGGGGCTGACATTCAGGATGAGTATGGAAAGTGACTGGCAGGAAAGATGGAGGGTTTTCTTGGATGCTCTGCATTTCGAGGGCTGTGTCTAGGAGGAAAGAATCTTGACTCTGGGAGAGTGGTGCTCTCCAGAGAGCAGGTGTGCGCCAATCACTAAAAGCTTTCCTGACAGGCAGGTAGAAACTGGACTAAAAAAATCCAGAAACTTTACCTCAGAACTGATGATTTGAACAGAAGATAGCTTGGTGCTGGGACCCTGAGCATGCAGCACTCTGGGCTGTGGGTGACGTTGAAGGATGGGACTCACCTGCCTCAATGAAGTACCCAAGGAACAGAATCTTGACCTGTATCTAAAAGTTTCTGAAACAAGCCTGTCTGATTTTTTGTATCATGACTCACATATTAATAGCATCTCTTTCTGTTACCCAGTACGTCTTCATTTGTATGATAAATTATCCCATCACCTGTGTGGGATCATTTTTCAACAGTGACACCCTGTGGTTAGGAGAAGCAACAGCAGTGGACTGAGATGTCATGACCATTCCTGGTCAGTATGGAAGCCAGGATGAGCAAGCACTTCCTCTCCTTGAACTTGAAGAGCTTTCAGGGTGCCTGGCAATTAAGGAGGGAGAGAGCCCTTCAAAAGGGAGTCTGAACACATCTTGTTAATAAGGCATGTAGGTGCTTCAGCTGTTTTAATTGGAGAAATAAAATCTGCAGCCATATGTTTATTATACACTTGCAAAGTGGTTTATACCAGTTACATGCAGCTTATTTTAGAATCCTTGCTCTAGCGACTTGATTAATGACATGATTCTTATCCTGAGCTCTCTGTAGGAATTTTCCAGTATCTCAGTCTGTGATCTTGAGAAGTTATAAATTTCACTTGTGGGAAAACGTATTGAGCGTGCTACAGCTTTAAAGGTTTGTTTAATTGCTGGAGTTTAGAGTTTAATGATTAAAAGGATGTCTGCTTTTGCCTGTCAAGAATTCCTTTCCCTTTCTCTGGAAACACAGCCTCTTTTCCTGTGGGAAACATGTTCCATATAATGTAGATAGGGCTGGCCCTCTTAACTATCGCTTCCTCTTTTGTAAGTGCATGTGTGGGAACCTGTGGAGGACAGAGGAGGAATCGATGTCTTGCTTTCTATCACTCTCCACATTATTCTCTTGAGGTGGAGTCTTTCATTGAATCTGAAGTTCACCCTTTGGGCTCAGCTGGTTGGCCAGTGAGCTCCTGGGATCCTGTCTCTGTCTACCCCCACCCCCAGAACTGGGGTTATAGATACACCTATATTATAGGTATGGGTATGGTGGATTCAAACTCAGGTCCTTCATGCTTGCACAACGAAGGGCTCTTACTGACCAGTCCTTCTCCCCAGCCCCCTTTCTTCTCATTTTACCCTTCCTATACCCTAACGAGGATTTGGACACAAGTCTGTTCTTTTGGCCACACTGACTGAGAGACAGGGGTCAAGTGATTTACCTCAGATAGGCCAGCTGCCTTCTTTTCTGGGTGCTCAAGCTATCAGAAAAGATGGTTTCATTTTACAAAGGTTGCTAATCTAGATGCACAGAATTGTAGGCTGGAAGCAGTCATCTTTCACTAAAAGGAAGATGACCCAAACCAGAAGGAAATGAAGCCGTGATGACATTATTGTGAGACTTCTGGATCAGCCCCAACCAATCTATTCTATTTGTAGTTTTTTTCCCCTTTGTGTGTGTGTGTGTGTGTGTGTGTGTGTGTGTGTGTGTGTGTATGGGTGCACATTTATGTGGATATGCATGCATGTGTATGCACCTTTTACTTGTTTTGGTGGTGGTGGCTTTTGATTTTGTTTTTTGAGACATGATCTTCCTGTGTTGCCCAAGCTGGCTTTGTTCGAACCCATGATCTTTCTGGCTTGGTGTTTTGAGTAGCTGAGAGGGCAGGTGTGCACCACCATGGCCCAGCCGATGAAAGGCATGCACATATACGCACACTGAATTAGTTGGAGCCAAGGTTCTAATTAATATAAGTTCTGTTGTAAGTAGTGATGGTCTTCTGCATCTCAGGAGCCCAGGTTCATTAGATTTTGAGATTTAGTGGACTCACTTGAGTCAGCTCTGACTTTATACAGCATCTGTAGAGTTCTAAAGTTAGTCAGGTTTGTTCACTGCTGTGTGCCACCTACCCATTCAGCCACAGAAACTTATTGATAGAGTTCTTTACTGGGCAAGGTTAATCTTGGAAAATGACACAGACAAGGTCACCAAGTAGGTCAACTTCAAGGGAAAAACTGAAGAATACCTCTTTCCACAGAGTCCATCATCTCGGCCTACAAGCCCGTGTCTCATTCCACTTGCCTTCTGTTGCCCCAGGGCATGTCCTGGGGTCAGTGCGGTAACATGTCCTCTACCTCAAGTGTGAGAGATGGAAAGAGGAAGCATCGGAGCTTCCACAAGACTTCTCTGCTCAGTATCTTGGGCAGCATGTTGACAAGGAGGTCAGGATTTATAAAACTTAAATGGAAGATTAGGTAGCCCAGCAGTTGGATGAAAAAGAGCGTGGTAAAAAAGAGGGAGCAAAACATCCTGAAAGAGAAACCCAAGAAACTTAATCAGAAGTGAGAAATGTGGAGCAGAACAGTGAGTCAGACACGAGTGCCTTTGACTTCCTTGTATTCCCATGTTGACCACTGACCATTGTCTTCTCCCACTGGCCTGCCTGGGAATCTTTCTCTGTCCATCTGTTTTAGTTTCTTTCTTTTTTTGTTTTTCTGGCCTTGCACTTGCTAGGCCAGTGCTCTACCCACTGAGCTAAATCCCCAACCCCTGTTTTAGTTTCTTTGTGCCATTTATTACTAAATTAATTGTTCTCCTGTATTTTTATTTTATTTTTTTCCAATTATTTTCTAAAGTAGCTACATGCAAATATGTATTTCTGTGGCTCCTCATCTTCCCTAACACATGTTTAAGATATTGCCACTCAAGGGTGTGTACACTAAGATCTCATTTGGTTTCAATTTGCTTTACTCTGATGAACAGTGATGCTGAACATTTACCCACAGCCTTGTTAGTCTCCTGTGTTTCCTTCCTTCTGCCCGTTTACCTATGAGGTGGCTTGGGCTTGTTGATTTATAGGAGTACTTTATATGTTCTTGGTATCCATCCTTTTCTGGTGTATGTTAATGTACTATAGCTATACCTTTATAATGTTCACTTTCTCTAAGATATTAAAGCATGAAAGTTATTAATTTTAATAAGGCCTAATTTGTCAATCTTTTGTTTAATCATAATCAACACATAAGGCACATGTCTGTAACCTCAGCACTTGGGAGGCTGGGCAGGAGGGTCATGAATTGGAGGCTAGCTACATTGCACAGTAAACTGTCTCAGAAGGCCAAACAAAACAACATAGAACAAAAACAAGGCTGGAAAGATATTTCTGCTTTTTATTCAAAGTTTATCTAGTTTTAAAGTCAAAATCTATGTAGTTTCTATTCAAAATCCATATTGCTTTACTCTAATTCTGCAGATCATTAGTCTTCCCTTCAATATACACACCTCCATTGGAGTATGGACAGGACTTAATGACTCACTTCTAAGGGATAAAACTTTGCCAGAATCTGAGTGCTTCCTGCTGGGTTCTGGTTTCATGGCATAAGAGGACCAGCTTAGGGTTCTGTGGAAAAAGCGACTAGTTTGGAATGTTGTGTGCAGGGATACTGGAATATGGCTACTACATTATGTGCTATGAAGGGGTGTTCTCCTTAAGCAAATTTTCCAGGCAATTGGGGTTGACCTTTAAGCACCAATAATTTTAACCATCTTGATGGAGCCCTTTCTAAACCATATTTCATACCACTTTGAGTGCATGTTTCTTTATGCCTTCCTAAACAGATCATATTGAGCATAATTTGACCTTTCCTTGCAAGTGGAGGAGTTTCATGAATACTAACCGTGCTTTGCTATCACAGCATTTCCCTCAGGACTAATAGCCACCCAGGTGTTCAAATCTTGAATCCTTATTCAGTTAAAAAAGGTTCTTTTCTTTTCATTTATTATGTGCTGGATATTATTAGAGATCTTTCCCACAATTGTTTTCTGTCTCATGTCTTCTGTTAGAAAACAGAGTGAATTTGAGATTTAGCACATGTCTTTCAGGGGTCAAGATTCGGGAAGTTGAGTTTCTTAGTTGCCTTTGGACCAGGAAGTCATATTGCTGGAATTGAGATATGCAGCTAGTGACACTGGTCTGCTGATCTGACATGTGCCTTGTTTATAGTCTGCTCTCTGGCAGCATGTCTAAAAGAGCTTAGCTTTCCAGGAAAGTTACTGGAAGATACTTTGCTTACCTTTTACTGAACTGCATTGACTTTCTGGTGATAGAATTATACTGGAAAAGAGAACGTTGATAAATACATTTCTGGAAGCTGCTAAATAATATTAGTGAATCTTCACTTAAAATGTTACATTTATAAAAATCTTACCAATTCTTGTCATTTGTACAAATACATAATTCTTAAAGATGAAGGATTTTAAAATAATTATTTTATATAAAATATTGTGTGTGTATGTGCACACACACACATGTGCACATGTGTGCCCATTGGAGGCCAGAAGAGGGCAAGCAGATCTGAAGCTGAAGTTATAGCTGATTGTGAGCTGCCTGATGTTGAGTGTTGGGAAAAGGACTAAGGTCCTCTGCAAGAGCAGTACATGTACTCTTACCTGCTAAGCCATCTCTTCAGTATATATGGTCAGATAGCAGACTAAGGCACAGAAAGGCTATGTAGCAGAAGGTAATACAGCTGGTAAGTGATGGGTAAGCTGGGTCCTCAGAGGCCGCATTCCCAGCTCTCTGAACTGTGCTTTTTTTTTTTTTAACCTGCTACTTAGCCTAAGAAGCTTAGAGCCTATTTAAATCACTCAAAAATTCCAAAAATACAATTTTTGAAAGGAGTAACTATCTCACAATGAATATTTCTGGATTTTTTTGGCCTCTTTCTTCCAAAATATTTTCTGTTATTTCACTGTCTTTACAACCTTCTTGGGAGTTCAAGAAGAACTCAATAAGAGAAGCTATGAGCTCATTTCAGAGCTCACAGAACTAAAATTAGAAACTTTTTGGAAGTGGATTCTGTAGCCTGGAGGAGTTAGGTGCTATATGGCAGGTGCAGCCTCTCCTGTGTGAAGGGGCTCGAATGTCACTAGGCCAGTAGACCCTCATGGGACTATAATGGGCTTGAGGAGGCCAAATTTAATTTTTCTCTGATAGTTGCCTTGAAGGAATTCTTTCATGAGCCTCTGTGAGTAGATGGGGAGTGTGCTAAGCTTGGTTCTAGAACATTGAATCCAATAAATTTCAGGAGTCTCACTTGCTGATTGGAACATGCAAACTTGGGAGCCAGGATGACTTGTGTAGGATGTGGGAACATGGTCCAACATAAGCAAATATCTGAATGATCCCAGAACAATGATCAATGGCTGACATTTTCTTTTAAGGATGAGATGAACTCTTGTTTCTGAAATTATCAAAGACATTTACCTTGACTACATGAAATCTCTCTCTGGTGATGGTCAACCTTGGCTTTAAAGCCAGTGTTAATTACAGAATGCAAATCTAACACAAGTTTGTATTTTCACCGTGTGCCTACTGCTGCGAGGCAGCTAGTAGGCTGAAAGACTGATATGCTCCACCAAAAATCCTGCCTCCTTCAAATCTTTGTATGTGAACTAGTGACTTCATGGTACTAACTGTGGACAGGCCTGAAGTATGTCACGAAGAAGTATGGCTTTTTATGTTTTAACTCACAGACCAACTCCAGCTAGACATGACAGACATCTTGGCGCTCTTTGTTGTAAAAGATTCTGGACAGTGTTAGGACGAACAGAGAAACAATCTGTGATTATAGGAGATGAAAGGGGGGTATACATGCTGTGTGTCTGCCCCCCTTTTGTGCAGCATACCCTCCATTAATGCTCTTTCCTATTACCATTTGGCCTCCTCTTGGGTCTTAGGCAAGTTTTTGAGAATTTGTCATTTGTACGGGTGGAAGAGAGGGGAGCCCACTGCTCCTCAGCATCTTGCTTGGTTTCGTTTAGTGCTGGGATGCTTTGGAATTATAGTTGAAAATGTTTGGAAACTATTTTTCACAAACTGGATATCCACCTTGTGACGTACAGTTTCTGAACAGTCCCGTGGAAGGCGGTGGCACTGAGTGGAGGGAGTGGCATGCTTACCTTATTTTTACTGTTACATTTCTCTTGCTTGGAATCGATGCTTAAGACTTTTGATCTAGGGGAAAAGGAAACAGAGTATTTAAATATTCATATACAGAATGGTTATTTAAAAATATTTTAAAGTTACATTATCCAACAACATACCCACTGGTTACATTTAGCTGTTTAAATGTAAGTTAATTTAAACAAAAATTCAGTTTCTTGGGCACATTAGCCATCTTCGAAGTCCTCAGAAGTCTGTTACTTATGGTTAGTGGCTACCTATTGGATGCATGGAAAGTTCTACCAGACAACCCTATTCTACAATCTTAAAGCTCCAACTTTGTGCTCAGCAGGCATCTTAGCAGACTGAAAGCATCTTTCAGGATCAAGGATCTCTGCATCCTGGGACCCTGGTTTGTAGGATGCAGCTTGTACATGGCTACTTAGAGGGTATGTGCAATATTGACCTCTTATTGTGGATCCAAAGATTCCCCAAACATTATAATAAACAGGAAAGCTTCTTCATTTAGTTAAGATTTAGCTGAGAAGGAGGGTCAGGCAACTCAGGGGAGGCTGTTTGTTTTGGTTTTGTACTATTTATGTTCCAGAAGCACGGGGAATGTTTTTGCAGGAGTCCTTTACCATGTCTAGTTTCTAACATTCATAGCTCAGTACAGTGACCAGATATGTTTCATAACACAGAATCTACAATGTATCTAGGGGTGAGTTTTGTGCCTATGTCGTGCTTAGGTTTTCATATATTTGAGAGAAATGATGATGATGATAGTTTTAAGGCCTTTCTTTGAAATATAAGGAATTACTGAGGGTCTCAGCCACTACATTTTTTAAAATACATGTTTATGCTCTTAATGTAAACACAAATAATAATGTGACAGTGTGATGTAGTTATGAAGGAAGATGTGTATCTGTAGTATTTTAAGATTGTGATTCTAACCACATCACAAAAGGAGACCAAAAGGGCTGGAGAGGTGGCTCAGTGGTCAAGAGCACTGGCTGCTCTTTCAAAGATGTGGGTTCAATTCCCAACACCTACAAGGAGGCTAACAACCATCTGTAACTCCAGTTCTAGGGGATCGGATGCCCTCTTCTGATCTCCATGGGCACTGCATGACATGAGTGTACTTACATACATGCAGGCAATTCGCTCATACACATAAAGTAAAAAAATAAAAGAAACAAAAGGAGAGCAAAGATATGGCTCTGGGGCTCATTCAGTTCCAGAGGGGAACTGGGCAGAGTATGCTCTGATTCAGCTGAGCTGGAGTTACCACCAAACCAGTATGGATGATCCTTTATTTGCAAATGCTCACATTTCTTTCTCAAGGAATTCAGTTTCCAGTTCTTCTATTCGCTTCAAAGCTTCCTGGTACTTCTTTAAAGAGAAATGGAGGGTGCCACTGTGATTACTTAGAAACTTGGTGATTTTTCTAAGCCTGCAAACACTTGTTACTAGGCTGTAACATGAATGTTTGGTGTTCCCATGTCCACTTCCTTGGCTTTCATAGACCCAACCCACCAACCTTATCTCCTCCGCATTAGGTAGGTTGTCAAGGGTAACTGGGGTTAGACATAGCAGATGTGCCCATTATTAACAGAGAGCACAGTTGTTGAAAAAGCAAAACAGTAGTTACCAAGAAGGAAGGGGCAATAAGGTGATATTGGCAGGGGACTGATAACCTTAAAGGCTCTTCTTAGTACCATGTAGGGTTACAGTTTTTCTACACAGCATTCTTGAACAGCCTGGTTACATTTCATCCTATACCTTAAGAGTCCCTTCCTGAGAAGCTGTACCTTTATGCAGAGGGCTTGGTCTTCACAGAGCTCGGACACAAACACATAGTAATTCATTATCTGAGAAACCAAAGTTGAGTCTTAATTTTTTCCAGTAAATTTCTACAAGAACAGAAATATATATGCTTCTTCTTGTATCTAGACTCTAAATATAATCTTTTGTCATATGTATAATTCATTTCATTTTTTTTACAAATTGAGGACAAATAAACCATACTTTATTATCCAAATGGAAATTATTTGGGGGCATTTGAAAGAGGAATAGATACTAGTATGTGGGAGATGAAGGTGCTGGAATGTATCCTGTAAAGAAGTTCAGGTAAAGATGATCTAGGGGACTGGACACATCTTCTATTGTTGTGTTTTTTTAAAAAAATATTTTATTTATTATTTTTATTTTATGTGTACGTGTGTTTTGCTTGCATGTAGGTAAGTGCACCCGTGTCGTGCAATGCCTGTGGAGGACAGAAGAAGCTGTTGGATCCCCTGGAACTGGAGTTATGGGCAGTTGTTAGCTGTCATGTGGGTGTTGGGATTCAAACCCAGGTCTTCTGCAAGAACAACCAGTGTTCTTAACTGCTGAGCCATCTCTCTGGCCCCATTGTTGTGTGTGTGTGTTTTTTAAAACCATCTCTTTGATCTGGATTGTCCTGGGTTTGGAACCTGATTATACACCAATCTTTTGAAAATGTATTAGGTTGATGGAGGATTAAGTTTTCCCTTCTTGGGAAGAAGAATCTTTGGAGTCCCTGTTGTTACCTTGGCCAACTCCTTTTCTTGGTCTGCACAGGAAACTTCCAGCTGTTGTAACTTAACCTGTTGAAAGGAAAGGAGCGGGGAACTCAGCAGGTGGAAACTGCGCAAGAACGGCACATCATCACAGTGGTTCTGGGTTAGCTGTTGAACTGCATCCGCCACCATTGATGCGGGGGCCAAGCTGTCCAGGGCTCTTTGCAGCCATGGTGAGCATCTATCTTTACACTGAGACTTCGTCTGCCTGTACCGTGAGGGCGCTTCAGTTCTTAGCTTCGTTTGCTAAGTATTTTAATTTTTTAAAAATTAATTTTATTTTTTATTTCATGTATATGAGTATTTTGCCTGCATGTATGTATGTGCACTTGTGTTGTACAATGCCCACAGCGGCCTGAGGAGGGTGTTGGATCTTCTGGAACAGGAATTTCAGACAGTTGTTATCTGTCATGTGGGTGCTGGGAACCGAAGCTGGGTCCTCTGCAAGAGCAGCTAGTGCCCCTAACCTCTAAGACAGCTCACTAGCCCCACAGCTGTTTTTCTTGAAAATAACATGAATCTTGAAGAGTTTGTCTTCCCATTTCCCTTTTATATAGTCAGTCTAAATCTAAGACTTTGGCTCACTACTTCTTACCTCATTGAATCTTTTCCTTTTTTTCTCCTTATACATTTGGCAAAATGTGTGTGTAGTGTGTGGTGTCTGTGTGTGTGGTGTGTATGTGGTACGTGTGTGTGGTATTTTGTGTGTGTATATGTGTGGGAGGGCCTGAGGCGTAAAGATCCAATTTGATTTGTAATTTGAAAGAACAATTTCTTCCAGGTCCGGAGAATCGATTGTTCAGGAGTAAAAGAAGCAAAGAGCTCAGCTAAGGGGCTTCAGCGGCCCACACTGCAGTGGCTTTCAGGAGGGTAGGGGCAGGGGAAAGGTGGAGAGGAGAAGGTAAGTGGGGCCAGAGGAGAAATGCCACACTTCTCCATTCAGCTTCATCTCTACACTCCATCCAGATGCCGATATTTGACACCTGTACTCTGCATAATGAATTCTTTCTTCAATTACATCAAAGCTAGTCATCCAGATGTTCTAAGAGCTATGGTCTCAGGTCAATAGTGTGAGTTGTAAGGTTTGGAAGTAGATCTATCCTAAATTGACTGAACCAACATGCCAGATGAACAGATGCAAAAGGGGTGCTGTATGTGTCACATAACAATCACACAAGAATTTTATGAAACAGGTGCGTCAAAGGACTAATGATACTCTGCAGCAAACAGTGACAATAGCTGTGGAAGGTTCTGTCCCAAGGAGCCTGGTTCCTCTGAGGGACAGGGCCTGCTGTGGAGAATTGACTGCGGAAAGGTAGCCAAGGAGGGAGGGGCTTTTTGGTGCCATCTTGGGATGGAAGTGGCCGGCTTGGTACAGGGTGGGAGGGCAGAAAAGAATGGCCCTGGTGTCTTTTCCGTGTGGACATGAGAAGGGGCATTTACAGACCTGGGGCGAAACCGTGGGCCCACAAGGTGTGGGTGAAAGCTAACAGTGGCTGTGAGCAGGGTGCGGAAGCAATCTGGAACCGTGGGCCACTGAGCCACAGAGCAGATGGGGCATGGGGTGTTCACCCTTTTGTGGAGGCTGGGTGTTCACCTTTGTAAGTTACTCTATTCCTCCTCCCCAGGATATAAAGTATGAAAAATTCAGATAAAAGTGTGCTATGTGGTTTGTCTAATAGTGCCAGGAGCAAGGGACCTAAGAGAACTCGGGGGACAGATGTCGACAGCAACTACAGCCAGACCCAATGTGTCCCCATTGATTATGACCAGGTTACCGTCAGGAAAATCTGCCCTGGGCAAAAGAAGGAATCTTGGGCGAAAACAAGTCTCCTGACTGTTGTGCTCACATGGCAAGCAAGGGCAAAGTCTTTAGAACCCTTTCTAGACTTAGCTTCAGTTTCCCCCTGATGAAGCCTCTGACTCCTCATTTGCTTCTTCCTAGAGAGTGTCCTACTTGAGCATGGTCAGTCAAGACTACTAGCTGGCATTGGGCTGTCTGCTTTTGTTGCCACTAATAAATACTATGGCCACTAATAGTAAACTGGCCTGCAGAAGAGCCAGATTTCTGTAGAGAAAGATTTCTGTAGACTTTGATTTTCTGCTTCTTTCTTCAGGGTCTCCATTTCTTCTGGGCTTTGTGCATACTGTGAATGTGGGTTTTTGACTGTATAGACACTAGACAAGGGCAAAAATGTAATTTTGGAGAGTCAAGAAAGAATTTTATCTGCTTTTTTAGTACAAAAGTCTCTAATTTCTGGTTTTTGATGAAGTAAGTTGTGGTTAGCCTTGGGCCCTCAGTTCTGGAACACAGTTATAGAAACGCTAGACTTTGCATGATGTGATTAGAAAGTAGAGATCATTAAATAGTGGATAGACTAAGTGGATGAATCCTTTTTAAGTTGCAGTCAATAAATATACCTTGTTTGACAGTCAGTAGACATATAGATCCTAGCTTTGCCTCTATGAATTTACCCACAGCCTCAGCCAGACTTTTACATAATAACTTTAAAATTGTTATGTGACTTCATGAAGATTCAGAGATCATAAAAAGGGAAAGAATACTTCATATACACAATCTCATTCAATCCTCAAGTTGGAGATATGAGAAATACATGCCAGATTAGGTGCTGGAGCGAGAGTTTTAAATGAGGGAATTCAGCTCCCTCAGTAATGTGCATTTGTGTTCAGGTCTCTGCAGCAAAAGGGAGAACAAAACCTGCTTCAGAGAGAAATTCTTGACTAAGGGCAGAGGAGGGAGACACGAGCTCAGTGGCTCTGGCTAAATTAAGTCTGATGTGGGCGAAAGTACAAAGAATTCATGGCAGCTTTGATGACTGTTTCCAGCTTCACAGCTTTTCCTGGCCACACAGCCCAAACCCACTCAGACATTTTTTTTCTGCTTACCTCTGACTCTTCTGAGGCTGTGTTACCATCACTTTGTTCACACCTGGCTGTCTTTTGTGATTTTCTTGCTAGCTACGGTTTCAAATAAAAAAATACATTTAAAAATCAAAATTCAAAATAACTAAATTGAAAAGAAAAACAGTGAGAAAAGACATTCTCTGGTATGTGGAGGGTCAGTAATCATGGCTTGATACAAGCTTGGAGGAGGGAGATGGCTCCTTGGGAGATACTCGGTGTCCTGTGAAAACTTCTTTGTTCTGCCTGTATCCTTTAACTATTCTCATCCCCAGAGTGAACTGGGGTCACTCAAGGCAATAGCACGTCCCTCAAGCCCCAATTAAAGTTGGGCTACTCAAGGCTGCAGGCATGGGTCACAGTGGGTAGAGCTAGGAAGTTTTCTGTACGTGAAGAAGGGTTGACATAGGGGACAAGCTTAGACAAGGAAGAGGACATCTTTGGGTATTAAGGGTGGTTGTGTGTGTGTTTAGTGCCTGCTGAAGATAAAATTAACTTCTGCCAATAAAGTTTCTAGTTAAGCCCTTTAACAGAGTGCTGGAATCCACTTCCTTAGAATGAAGAACTCATGGGACCACTGAACACCTCATCTACTCTTCCAGTCCATACTTGTAGAGATGATCCATGGCTTTAGACATGAGACTCAGCCTCAGGAGAGTGGGACCCAGTCCAAGCTCAGGCCTCTTTGACACCTGAGTCCAGTTTCTGTCTTTTATCTCGTTGTGAATGAAGATGCTGTGGAGGCACTGAGGAACACAGAGCCCCATCCTACCTTTCTTTGAAGTTCCGATATACTGTGGGCCAGAGCCTCATTCTTCCTTTCCTAGGAAGAGAAATGACCAGAGTGTAAGTCTGCATCAATATGACTCCATCTGCTCTTATTTAGCTGATATGTCCATTTCACCAGACAATATTTTCCTGCAGCAGTTTAATCTTATTTGCAGATATAGATCAAACCACCAATGAAATAAGCACCAAGGTATAGATACTTATCTAGATAACTTCCCCATATTAAATATTTCCCAAGAAACACATATTTCCCTCATTCCCTCCCATGCATGGACACATTCTATGTGAAATTATCAGCTTAGCAGATGGGGGCTGTGAGCCAGGGTATTTCCCAGTATCTTGCTTACAATTTTGACTGTTTCTTCCTTCAGCTCCTGCAAGGCTCTTTCCCGTTCCATCATGATGCAGTTTTCCTTCTCCAATTCCTCATCTTCTGCAGGGTCTCCAGTCTGGGAAACCTCATTTTCTAGCCTGAATGTCAAATGCATAAGCTATAAGGGTCCATTATGGACAGTTTCAGAAGTGATAAAATTCAAGTATCTGTTATAAGAGTGCTTGGATGACTATACGTGCATCTCAGGTTGGAAACCCTTCTTTTATGGATATATAGAATCAGACAATTTCAAGGCATAACAAGAAAGAAGAAAGATATGCTTTATTCTCAGGACAAACACCTCAGTGTACTTTCAAGTCGGGAAAGCTCTTTAGCTAGTTTTAAAGGAGTCTGTTTTTGAAACCTGCTATGTTTGAGTGTGCCAGCTACAGAATAATGCCAAAGAAGAATGAATAAACTTTTTAGTACATAAGATACAGTTCTAGATCAAACAGGAAAACTGGGGTTTATTTTTCTCCACCCCGTCTTTCAGATTGAGAACTTCCCTCACAAAACCCTAAGACTCACCTCTGGATCTCATGTTCTTTTTGTTGGATTTTGAGAAGAAGCTCCTGATTCGCTTCATCTATTCTCTGCATATCGCTTTCAAGGTCCATGTTCAAACTCATAATGTTCTTCTTTGACTGGGCCAATCTTAAGATTTCCTTTTCTTCTGACCTATAGACTCAGCCCCAAAATGAACAAGGAAGGGTTATCTTAAGAACGAAAGTCACTGGGCCAAATAAGATAACAAAGCCAGGTAATTCATCTACTGTGCTCTTTCTGTGAGCATAATTTTTCTTTCTCATTTTTGGAAAATGGTACTTTAAAATCAGGCTTTTACAACTTCTTGTTGTTTTTGTTTGTTTCGGTTTTGTTTTTAGTGGTGCTGGGGATTGACCTAGGGCCCTCACATGCTAGCCAAGTGCTGTGGTCACTGAGCTACTTCCTAGCCCTTAACTCTATAGTCTGTTTCAATAATTCTCAACACATCAAGGGACATCCTTCCCAGGCTTTCTCCTCCAAAATGCTCATGACAACCGTGTACCACCACTCTGGTTTCATGAGAAGCTGAACTTCCTTAAATAGCCTCGCAGTGGAAAGAATTGTTTCCCATGGCAACCTTTTCTTAAATTGTTCTCAAAACCTGGTTATGTAATAGTCTTTTACTGAATATTTTTATCTGGGCACCTGCTTCATCAATTCGGATTTAGGGGACTGTATGCAGAGACAAAAGAAGTTCCTACCACCATGGAGGACTTTACTCTTTCCCTCTCTACTCTTCACAATTTTTATCTATTATTTATTTATAATAAATAATAAATTTATTTTTGATGGCATGTATGTAAGCGTACCTGTGTGACATGTGGGTGCTGGGAACTGAACAGAGGTCCTCTGCAAGAGCAGTCAGTGTTCTTAACAGCTGAGTCATGTCCCCAACCCTCACCTTCATTACTCTTTTAAAAAATATTTTATTTTAATTTTATGTGTATGAGTGTATTGTCTGCATGTATGTAAGTGTACCTGTGTCATGCAATGCCCTCAGAGGTCAGAAGAGGGTGTTGGGCTTCCCTGGAACTGGAGTTACAGACGATTGTTAGCCACTATGTGGGTGCTGGGAATCGAACCCAGGTCTCCTGGAAGAGTAACCAGTGCTTTTAACCGCTGAGCCATCTCTCTAGCCCCAATTGCTCTTATTTCGACTTTTCTTTGACTTGCTGATTAGAATGTTTGAGATTTTACTATGTGGCCCAAGCATTCAAGAATATAGCAACTGCTTCCAAAAAATGTGAATAAAAGGATAACTTTAGTCTGTAAAGGGTACCCAAGCCAAGGAGTGCTCATACTAAATTTCCTCTAGTGCATAAATTAATTCATTGGTTTGTCTTTGATTAACCAGGAATAGGGTAGGAAGGCACAGAGACTTTTATTATGGGAAGAAATGAAGTATGATACTGGAAAATAAAAGTCCTATCTTGGAGGGGCTGACTTGTGTGGGAAATTATAGGAGTTCTCACTTCCTAAAGGAGCAGAGTGCTTGGGGAAGGTGCAGTGGGAGGTGAGTGGAGGGAAGTCGATAAGAGAGGTGACTGGAAGGTTAGCAGAGCTCTCAGAAACAGCCTCCTCACACCTGGTGCCTGGATGCGGCTTTGGATAGTCACCATTACTTACTCGTAATCTAGTTGATCTTCCTTCTGTTCTTCCATTGTAGAGTCCCTGAAACATCAACAGAGATGCATTTATGAACTGTGGAAATGGGCCCATTTATATCCCGATAGACAGTAAGTGAACTGGTTTAGAAAGTAAGTAAACCAGTTTTCTCCCTTTAAATCCCCTGGTCTGGATGTGACAAATCCGTCTTCCACTTCTGCCACTCATCTGACTCTGCGTCAGGAAGTGAGGGTACAAAGAAAATGCTGGAAAATTCAATATATGTCCTGCAAGCAAATGCACTCAGAATGTTTGTCAAAATCAATTAATTTGGAAATTTGTATGAAACAGCAGGCTGAAATAGAGGCGACCAGCACTTCCCCAGTCTCCTTTTCCCTATGTCCTGCCACTTCCTTTAAAACTCTCAGGGCACAAAGGTGGGTACATCACTGCCCTGAAAAGTTGCCACTGTTCCCTTGTCCATGACCCCCAAAACATTCATGTTCTCTAGCCTCTGGCTTCTATGAGCCAGTCAGGAAGCCTGTCAGCATTAATCAGGGAGTTAGCATTAATCAACCAAGTAGAAGAAAACTCTCTGGCTCTCTATGCCCTATAACTCCCTCTTTGTCTCCATTTCTTCTCCAAACTCTACCTCCCTTCTACTGACGTGTTTTGTCTTCTTGATCCTTCCCTGGTCAATTAGCTTTTGAAGACTCTAACCTGTTCCCACTGGAACCATCCAATAGAATTTCAGAACCTTCCGTGGAGTCATGACTCTACTTTGACACAGGATGATCAGGGCAGCGTGTCACAGTGGTGCCAGTGGCAATGGGTTCTTACCTTCCCTAGCCAGAGCCTCTGTAGGTGTGTGGGCTTCATGATTAAATCTGCCCTAACAGGAAGAGCTTCAGGGAACTGTTTTCTGGGCAGCATGAAGGGACAGTCTTCAGAATAATTTCTCTAGTAAATAGGGTTTCTTTCTTGCCCAAATGAGCCTAAGATGTGTAATCTAGTCTTGTAGCCAGCAGTGAGATCCTGTCACATATCCAACTAGCTACTCACTGAGTCTCCAAGGATGGAAATGTGAAAATGCAAGGTGCCTTTGAGACACTATTCAAAGCACTAGAGAGAAGAGGAAATAAAACAGCCCAGAGCACTTACCTTTGTGGAAGAGTTTACCCTCTACGGGCTGTGTGTGTGTGTGTGTGTGTGTGTGTGTGTGTGTGTGTGTGAGGAACAAGAAGTAAGTTGATTTTATTTCACGGAAGGAGGACGCTGTGAAGAAACAAGCAGGTGAAGGGCATGAGGGAAGGCAGCTTCACCTGGGAACGGAGGTTTTTAGTCTTAAATTGGCTGGTGTGGAGAAAGCTGCTGACAGGCCTTCTCATATTGGGAAGTGGGATGTTGAAGTGCAGAGACTTGATAAATTAAAGGAGACTTTGGGGCGTGTCGAGATGGAAACAGAGTCCAAAGGATCCAGCAACACCAGCAGGGGATAGGAAGACCCAGTTTTGCTTGCAGAGGCCCATGGATACATAGCTTTCCATTGCCCTTGCTACCATGTTGGAAAAGAGGAAGACTTTAGAGAGAGAGTCACTCGCCAAAATACTGACATTACTTGAAAGAGATTTTTCAGTTAGCAATGCCTGTGATTATTCTGAATGGCTCCATTGTGTCATTTTTTTTTTTTGGCCAGATTTAAGGGAAAGTCAGTTACAAAATGGAAAGAATATGTATTCTGTATACCTGAATGTGTGGACATGTCAGTCAGACTCTGCTCAGCTTGGAACTTTTTGTGGATGTATGAATCTCAGAAACCTGCCCTCTACTCAGAAAGCACACATTGAGATTTGTGAGCCTCTTACATACTGGAGTGACTTTTTAACATACTGGAGTTTCTAACAAACTATTTGTAAAATTAATGGCCTCTGATGACCCCCATTACCATCTCCCTTCTTCCTGAAAGAAGGCATTTCATTGCTTTATGGAGCTGTACACAGAAGAGTAATTAAGTAACAATTCAGGCCAATGGCCTCTCCCAGGAATTGATGGTAGGGAGAGTTCATTAACCCCAGCTGGTTACAGCTTCTCCAGGAAATGCCCTGGACCAAGGTTATTGCAGCTGTTAATGGATTGGATAGGGACTTTAACTGGGATAAAAATAACCTGTCTCCTTCCTGGGGAGCTTTTCTCCTTGAGGGGCTACCAGAAGCTAGCTGGAAGAGCCATGGAACCTGCAGCCTGGGGCCCCACATGGATGAGGACAGCAGATTGTTACCAGAGAGAACCATTAAATCAAGGTGAAACTAGGGCCTTGGGGCAAGATAAGGTCTTTGATATAAGCCTTCCTGCAGGTCTGAAGATGGCTTGATTAACACCCAGTGCGGCTTCGGAGCAGCTGTTCCCCTAGTTAATGTCTCTATGCCCTGCCCTGTCCAGTGTGAAGGGTGAATCATTTTTTGTTTCATGTCATGCTATCACATTGTGTGCAAGTCTGTTGGGGAACTCCTTGGGGATTCCTCCTAGATTTGCTGGGCCAGTGCCCATTTGCTGTGGGGATTGGCCAGTTAGGCACACTTGAGCCCTGAGTGGAAGCTGCCAGGCCCCTCTAACTGTGTGGTGGGGTGGGGTGGAAGGTGGAGAGCCATTTCCTTTGCTCACCTTGCTAATCCTCTGTTTGATGGTTGTGTCTTGGATAAGTTTACAAATGAACTTGCTTTTAGGGCTCATAGCTAGGTGAGGCGCTAGAAGTTCATTTTAGATAATTGTTCTTCTAATTCAGATTCATATATACAACTTCCCCTGTCTTTTCTTATTGGGAGTAATTAGTATTGTATTCCTTTTAGACTCATAACATCTCTTTGGATTTCCTTTTAGAATAGATCTTCTAATAGTCACCAAAGCATAAACTTGAACTACACTGAAATGAGAGGGAGGGGAGGAGGAGGAGGAGAATAGAATTAGTTTTTAGTACTGCCATCTGACCCAGGTTGATTTTTTTTGTTTTTCATTATATGCAAATTAAAATATGATGTACTATAATTCAATATCCAAAAACTGAGAATTTGAAGTGACAAAGTGTATATATTTCTTTTAAAATGAGATTTATTGTCTTGTTGCTACTATAAGAGAAACAACACAAAATTAAAGTTCATTAAGGATTTTATTTCATAGCAGAACTCCGTTTTTTAAAGTTTTCTTCTATTTTTGTCAATTATCTCTATTTTCCATCTTTTATAGTTATTATAGCATATAGATTCAGTGTTGGATATTTGTCATTTAATATTTATAACTATTTCCTAGGTACTATTATAATTCCAATTGCTATAAATTTCTGCTGAGTTGATAATATTCACAACTTACACATTAACCCTTTCCTCCTATACTGATTTGTTTATGTGCCTGCCTCCCCTGTTGGACCCTGAGCTTTGGAGCATGGAAGTGCCTGCAATCTCTTGCTAGGATTGGCCTGACAGGCACCACAGACAGACAGGGTGACTAACAGAGACATTGTTCCTCACAGTTCTGGAGAATGGAAGTCCAAAATCTACATCTTGGCAAGAAGCCCCTCCACTTGAGGCTTCTGTATGATCTGCCAGTGACATTCTCTCTCTCTCTCTCTCTCTCTCTCTCTCTCTCTCTCTTTCTCTCTCTGTCCCTATCTTCTCCTGTACGACAGTGAGCATACTGGATTTGGACTACTATATAACCTCATTTTTTGCTTAACTTCCTCTTTTAAAGGCTCTATCACCAAAAGCATTCCTATTCTGCAGTACAGAGGTTGGGATGTCAACATAAGAATTTGGGAGGATACAATTATGCCCACAGATGTGCCTAAAAATTAGCTTTTTATCCTCTATATCTGGCATAACTTAGGCACTCAATGGATGCTTAACTGTGACTGAATTTGTAAATATTCAGATTGTTCCCTCTCCTCTCTCATAAAAGCATGCCAAGGAATATGTTTGGGAGGTAAGGACGTAGCTCAGTGGTAGAGCACATGTTTAGCATATTTGAGGTCCTGGGTTCAAACTTCAGCACACACAAACAGCTTCCCCCAAAGAATACATTTACATAATCATAAAATCATTGGACCTTCCAGTCTAGCCAAGATTCCCATTTTTTTACTTCAGTGTCAAATATGTATTTAAAATGAAAATGATGAAGAATAAGAGAGACTGAATGTCTCATTGAAGTCAAAAGAGATTTTAGTCTCTGAAAAGTAGACAACTCAACACTTTCTGTTCATTTTTCTGTGAGTCTAAGAAAATGAAAAAGGACGTAGAATTTCCTCAATTGTAACACGGCGTCATGACTGCTACTTGCTGTGCTCTTTATGTTGGTGACATTTTTGTTTTCAATGAGATAATTTTTTTGACGTAAACTATACTTGGTAACTACTTTAATTAATCTTTACTATTTATTTATTATCAGGTGTGTGTATGCATGTTTGCGTGTGTATAGGCACACACATGCATGTGTGCACTTAGGTGTGGCGGTCTGATGATGCTATCTAGAGTCTTCCTCAACTGATCTTTCTCCCCTGTATTCATCTAGCCGGGTCTTTCAGTTGAACCCAGGGAACTATAGGTGAGCTGCCTTATACACCAGAGTACTCAGCTTTGTAAGGGAGACCAATGTGGGCATGTTATAGCCCACAATGTGGAGGCAAGTTGAGGGTCCTGCTTTAGTTGGTACAATGAACTGCTTCCTGCTTGGTCTTGGGGTCCCATTTTCTGTTCAGGTCCCCCTGGGACAATAACATGATTGTAAGTAGGACACAGAAGTAAAACTGTTAATTTAAAAATGAATTTGAAAAATGCTGTTTCTTGGAGAGAAGATGATGGAATGAGGCATACCCAGAGCAGCTGGCTTCAGGCCTGAGGCATGCCAGCTCCTCAAAGGCTGAGTTCATGTGCTGGACGACGTGACCAATCTTAGCAAACAGGATGAGTTTTTTTCTTGATCCTAGTATCCAAAATGCTCTTTCTTGGTGTCATGGTTTGATTCTTCATTGCTGTGACAAAACACTCTGACCAGTACCAACTTGGGGAGG